GTTTGTCTACTTATGTAAATGGATTTTTACTGCATTTTTAAATGAATTAATCACACAAACATCATTTTTGAGCAACATAATATGCATCGCAATAACAGGGAGAAGCAATTGTTTTGTTGATAAGCTGTCAAATATTTTGTATTTATTTATATTGAATTTTCTTCAAGTTTGATTAACTTTCCAAACATTTGTTTAATTTGTTGAACATAAAATGTGGTTGGAAGCCAATCAATCTCAACTTTCTGAAGAACCAGTGGCTGTCATTAGTCATGGTTTGCTAATGATATCCTGTTGTCAGGATAGCAGCAAATGACCAATTGTGGTTTTAAGACCACTTGAAGCACATGTATAATAAATGTAAAATAAATACAAATTGGTTAAATAATTACAACTTCTGTTTGTTCAGTCCCTTCGTGTTGTAAAGGAGTCTGATAGAAACTCGCTGGTCATTTGCCCAGAGACATGTCTTTTAACAAAAAGCTTTTTCATTTTAAGTGCATTTATTTCACAAGAAATGTTTAAATAAATTAATTATCAATAAGGGCTCAATACACTCTAATTTTTCCACAGTCTGTGCAAACAAATATTTGTGACTTCGAAATATGCAAATACTTGTAAAAATGTAATAATTTTTTTCCAATTATGCTTGTAGTAAATTATAGGCATTGCAGGCTATTACTGGTAATTAGCTGTCCTTGTTTGTATATTTCAGTCAAATTTGGGCCTTTCAAATTTCCGAACAACCTTTACAACATTTTTTCACACAAACATACGCCACTGCAATTTATTTAAATAATCCCACAATATTTCAAATTGACAGTAGCCAGCAAAAACAAAAACTTTGAGCACAAATGTTAACCCTTTTCAGCAGGAAAAAATAAAATGTGAACAAGTAGACTACAGCGCTCTGCAATCAATTGAAAATGAAAAACCGTGCGGTGCAAAAGACACAACTACATATCGACATATGTTTGTATGTACATACAAGTATGCGTGTAGGTATGTGTGTATTTATAGCTCTGTATATAGCACAATAGGTTGTTACTTTTAAATACATATCCGATAATTTATTACCATTTCATTTGGCTGCGCACCTCTCTAGGGCGGCAGAGAGATGTCGGTATGTAATTATTATCTTTGGGCAACGGTGCGCATACGTAACGAATGGCAAGTTTTAACGTTTTAAGGTTATGTGACATTTTTCAGCGGCACGACCATTTTCCTGCACAAAGAATATTTAAAACAAGTGGAGACTTTGAAATACTCTGCACATACGTGTAAAATATTTATAAAAATTAAGAAAATTTTACAAAATGTTTATCGCTTTTATACGAATTTTAATATATTTTTGCAGTGTAGTGTATAATTTATATACTTATTCTTGTCCTATAATGTGTCTATTATACACGTAACTAAAGTTCCTAAATGGGTTATGAGCACGCATATTATATCAGTTGCGCGGCTATAAACACACGGATTATCGGAATATGGCATAAATATCAATATGCCTAACAAATTAAGAATATCGCCGTACATATCGATAAAGGTTTTAACAAATTTTTCTATACAATCCGGTGAAGCCAGCCACTGTCCATGTTCATAACATAGCCTCGTCAGTTTTTTTAGTTTTTCTGAAATCTGTCTACCATCCTCGTTGCCATCTCGAATATATTCCTGCTTTACATTGGGGCAGCCGTCAAAATATTTTCATGTACACTTCAATCTACACCTTTCATTATGCGTTGTCTTTTGACATAGTGGTCAGAGGGTGGCATTTGAAGCTTCAAAGAGTGTCAGAATGAATAATACAGTCAATGGTCTCATTTCTGCGGTCTTCGTAATTTACTGTTTACCTTTCCAAAAGTTCGCTCTTATCTATATTCAAGTTAGAAAATTGATTGGTAATACTTCACATCTTATCGTTAATTTTAATCTCAATTTTTATACTCCAAGACTGGAACGGATCTTAAAATTGTTAGTACTTTGGTATTATATGATATTGAATTGACATTTTGCAAAACCCTGACGTGGCCTTAAAAAAAATAACATTTCGACCCTAATAGATATAATTTATGTTTTATTACGTATTTTGGCAGCACTTCTTGCTGCGGAATAAACAATTATATATGTTAATAAGTACTTACATTAACATGACCTCCGACTACCCGCCTGTCATCCATCTATGTGTTTCTTCTAATGAATTGTTGTTGTGCACCTATTCCGACTATTGTCTGTTTTATTAGGACACACTACATAAAGAAGACTCCATTTGCTTAGGACTAATCTGACTAACCATTTTTTTCATATATCCGGAGTGTTCCTAAGAATAATCAGAAAAATCTATAAAAACCAAGTTGAGCCAGGTGCCACGATATTAACAACATATTAGTCAGCCAAATATATGTATTTTACAATTCAAATGAAAAGTCGTTTGTTTATTCATTTCTGTTTTTAGCATTTCTATCCATTAAGCAAGGCTCATAAAAGTTCATGGACGAAACTTATTATTACGCATAAAACATCCTTCAGAGTTGGCCAAACCCAAACAAGAGCATCCGGTGTAAGGATTGCTGGGGCCATAAATCCGGTGACCAACAGTTGAACAGTCGATGAGATGAACGTCGGAAATTTTACAAGTACATTAACTCTGCCATTCCGAAAATGTTTAATGCATTACTTAAAATCCCACAAAAGTTGGGAGTCCTATTTAAGAAATCCGTAAAATCTCTTGAAAAGTGTAAAGATGAAGGAATTGTATCTTCTCTTAAAGGCTTAGGAGAAACATGTCAACATTTTATGAACTATGTATAGAAGACTTTTCTATACTATAGATAGTATAGGAAAACCTATACATAGCTCATAAAATGTACGACACGTTTCTCCTAAGCCTTTAAAAGAAGATATAATTCCTCCATCTTTTCAAGACATTTTACGTATTTTTTAAATACAACTCCCAACTTATGTGGGATTTTAAGTAATGCATTCAAAATTTTCGGAATGGCAGAGATAATGTACTTGTAAAATTTCCGAAGTTCATCTCATCGGCTGTTAAACTACAGGCAGTTCCTCCTTTGTACATTGCACGCTGTTCCTTTATATTCCCTATTCGTATTAGCTTTTTTTGGATCCTGAGACGCAGATCCTGTATGATGAATTATGCAAATGAGCAGAAAATATTACAATATTTTCGCCATAGTGACTTGCTATTTCAGCTGCGTTTAACTAACAATACATTTTTAGAAGAATGTTCTCCTTAAATAGTTCATTTTACGGTAAGTTAGTACATGTATAGAAATATTTTTAATACGGCGTATAATATTCAATTTGCTAGAAACATATTAAAACGGCGTGACAACAAGCTTCATTATTTATAATTTCCTCATAGTCTTACTCACTTCGAGAGCTTCGCCGACCTCTATAGTTTGCGCTACAATCTTCATACTAAGCGATTTGACAACTATTCCACAAATCTTTTATAAAACTCTTTTAGTCTGATAATAGTCGTCTGTTTATAGTTTAAGCGCCAGATTCCGATCTGATTGGAAATTACCCAAAGGTAATTTTAGTCCCAAATTTTCTATCGTGCTCAAATCGTATTTGGAGCTTCTATATTTCAAATTTAAACATTTATTTAAATAACATAAAAACAGTGCAAAGCAGCAACAACAACAACAACAGCTGCGGGCTGTGCTTGGTAAAGGATGATATATATGGCTATAACTTCCTGTTAAATAAGCCTATCCTTATGAGACTTGGCGTTCGGACTCATAATCACTAACTGGAGTGATTTATCGAATTTCAATGAAAAATTCCAAGAAATAAGGAAGTTATAGAAAATCGCCAATTGCCCTGGAGAGGAGGGAGGGAGGGAAATTCTAAAATTCACATTTTCTGCGTATTCTCAAAAGGCATCTGGGACTGAAATTTGGTGTCCCAATGTCTCATAGTCCCCGAGATATAGGTGATAATTCGAACAGAAAATTGGAAAATTCCCCACAGGAAGGAAGTGGAGGAAAATCAAAAAAATAAAACAAACTCGTATTGCGTACACTCATAAGGCATCTTTGTGCAAAATTTGGTGTCTCTAGCTCTCATAGTCTCTGAGATCCAGGTTTTCAAACGGACAGGGCTAGGTCGACTCGACTTGTAAAGCTGATCAAGAACATATATACTTTGCGAGGTCTACCTCGCCTCCATCTGCCTGTTACATTTTTCAGCTCACGCAAAAATAATATACTCTTTTACATTTCATGTATAGAGTATAATAATTTATGGCTGCAGCTCTGAACTTTGCCATACACTCACATGCATTTTTAAACATTTATGTGCGCGCTTTTTTCAATGGTGCAAGGAAATTATACTTAAATTTATATCATCACGGAAAATGGCTTCTTGCCACCGGCTTTCAATTAATTAAAAACGAATTATGTAATTGAAAAGTTGTTTGCGCCCAGTCCCCAATTTCCCCTCATATTCCGCAGCACATTGAAGGGACCTACTCGTTTAAGCGCATAGCGCTCCCCAGCGTCACATCAACTGAAAAGTCATCAAGTAATCACTGTTACTCTGCTCAACCCTTTTAGTCTATTTTGTTTGCTATCAGCATCGTGTAAATTTTGTCTAGGGTCCCAACGTTTTGCAGAAAAAAAAAAAACAGAAAAAAGGAAGTGGACAAAATATACACACCAGCAGAAAAATCCCTTTTCAATTTTTCTTTTCAACAGATAAAAATAAAACAAAATAGATGCAGGAGCAAAAGCAATAGCTGAAAAATTCCATAATGTTAGCGAGCATGGATAGCAGATTAAGATATTGTTTCAACAAAAGTTCTAGCTCCCCCTGCTAACTAGAGTTTTGTTGAAACGCTGAGGTGGTGAAAATGCTTTTGGGCCAAAAGAGGGTTGCTGGCCCCATTGTGGAAAATCACTTAGCAAAATAGTTATTTCCTCTCCGTTAAAAGAACTCAAATATACGCCTGCATAAGTAATTCAGGAAACAAATTGCAAGTCTTGGATGATGTTTATATTTCATGCATTTAGGTTTAACTGAAATTTTGAATTATCCAATGTACAAGTGCAGCTTGGGGAACCTTCTGGCAATCACATGCCGCTGTCTCCGGTAGATGCCCCGATTTCCTTGGATTGAGCAGAGAATTTGAATTGCCTAAGCATATTGTTCAGCGAACTCATTACGAATAGAAATTGCGCTTTGAGTTCCTTAAGTCTTACACACAATTCACCATTGGCATCCAATCCCTTTACACACTCCCCAACCTCCAGATTCAACTCGATTGCCTCTGGATCCGTTGAAGTTTCTCCAATGGCTTCTCCAAACTGGTGCTTCTTGTCCACATCCAGTGTATGGGCCACTATTATCTCGTGAGAGTTCTCCAGCAGGTAGCGTAAGGCGTAATCATCGCCAATTACTGTACGATTTTCAGCGGTGAGTAGAAACTTTCCATTGATTCCAATCTCTGCAGCTGTAGCATATATGTAGGAGGACACACACACATTGAGCAGAATAAGATAATCATATTTACAAACACACTTACCGGCCTCGAGAATGTCCTTAATTGTGGGGCTTGATAATCCGCGCATTAGTCTTATTTTTTTATCAGGCGAGCTAATTAGCACGTAGTATCTCCCATAATTGTACGTGGACATGGTTTTCCCTTAAATGTTGTAAATGCCTGAGAAATTCCCCAAGTGACTCTGATTGACTGTGAAATATAATTATTGTTGGCACTTCGACCGAATTTCCGGTTTGCTTAGATTGCTGATTGTCTAACTATGAATAGAGTAGTTAACGCTTCGTCCAATTGGGGAAAAAATGTTCCTGAAAGCCAATAGTGAGACCTCGAATCAATACTCAAAACGGGCAACTGCATTTACTGCAAGACTACAAGTAAAGAGGATAATATTAATTTTAATGGAATGCGACAACTTATGCAGACGTTAAAATATATTTATATGCTTTATAAATTTCATTTTCGATGCGTAATTCTGAAAGAATTACCTTTTATACATATTGGGAAAATCAATAATTAAATTGTAGTAAACTTTCGTCAACAATATGTATGATGGTCTTAATAGCCAGCTTTCTTTAATATCTGCCTAAACATGAATTGAGGCAGCCATTTAAATTAACAAAAAAGTTTTATGGCTAACTAATAGGCATAAATATTTTACCATCAACAACTTGGACTAACAACAGAATTTTATATGAAAATATCGCCCCTAAGATTTGATTGCCGGGTGGCATATTTGTCAAATGATTAATTCCAGAACCAGCGGACAACTCTTCCCACACCACCATCATATAAATGGGAGAAGGTGTGGCATCTAAGTACTTATACCTACGCTGGTGCCCAGCTGAATAGGGCCTGCCTTCACTTAACATTTCTTTGATGGCGATGTGGTTCATTGTTTAGCCCATTATTGCCATCATCATTGTATAGCGAAATGATTATTTGTCTTATGCTGCGTCAAGATTTGTTCTGGGAATCCTACAAATTCGACACAATTATTTTGTTGTTGCTGCTGTAATACAACCAAAGGATGATCCTTGTTTCCGAATATTCATTCATAGATTTGTAGATTTTGCACATAAATGATAACGTAGAGAGGGTATACTCTAAGCTCTAAGTTACCTTATTTATTAGGGTCTAGGGCCTTTTAGATGATAAATAATTATAATAAGCAGAACTTTGTTTCTTATTATTTGGGCTAAGCCTATCAGTATGAACGATGGTGTACATGTGCTTACAACACCACCAACAACAACAGCAATACTAGCAAACACAACATTGTCAGTGTCGTGCACGGACAATACAAATGTTATGCATAGCATTGACCGACAGACAAAACCAAAATGTTTGCTGGTCATTTATCATTGTGACATGAAAGCAACAACTACAAATACAAGAACAAACCCAGCAACAAATTCAAAGCCAGCGATAACGAACAATAACAGCACAGCAGCGACAATTCCGAGGAATATAAGTGACAATTTTCATACATTTTCCTGTCCGTACAACGCGTCGTATGAGCGATGATGGTAGTGTTTGGGCAATGCCAGCTTTCACTATTGTTGAACAAATCGATAAATGTCCGTGCTCGAGATAAACATATTTGAGTAAAATGCGAATGCCAGCTTGTTGGGATTGCCATCGTTAAAAATTGTGCTTCGCCTTTCCTTTTCTTCCTGCTGACTTTCGCATCTACAACCAATGCAAAATGAGCAACGTTGGCTTCACATCTGAAAGGATATCATGCATTGCAAATTTGGTGCCAACTCGGTGGAGTCCGAATGCAGTCGAACCGAATTTCAGCAGCCAAGCACTGCTAAGAGAAAACACGCATGCATCCGGTTGCCATTTACAATGTAAATTAAAAATAATTTCAGCTGCGAAAATTCTGTGGAAATTATTATTGGCAAGACTGCGACAAAGACATTTAAAAAAAAAACAAATACCAATTCTATGGTAAAAGCAAAAAAGGCAACAAAACAACAACAAACACATTTAGTTTTAGTGCATTGGCTGTTGAGCGAAAAAATACGATTATTTTTATTATCGGCAGTTATATTAAGCAGCAATGTGGAGCTTAGGAGCACTAACATCAGCAACAACAGACAATCCTACTTTTGCGCTACAGAAAAAATGCACAAGGACGCAGTCGCCCTCTTCTAAAATTCAAATTCGAAAGTGTCTTGAGGCACTTATTTTTACTTTTTATAGTATCTTTTAAATTTCTTTTTTATTTCTCTACTGCCCCTTATACTTTGTGCATGCAAATATATCTGAATTAACTTCTAGAAGAACAAAAACAACTGTTACATAAAGGTGCACAACATCCTTTTCAAATATCCCACATGCATAGCTGACAATGTTTTTATACTTGTAGTACGAGTATATAGTACAAATATACAAATATATGTATCGCATTCATGATTCCCAAAACAATCCTTAAACCAGCAAAAATATCCACAATCTTTTTTACAAGTTTTTGTTTACTGGAACTTTCCCGCCTGAGGTTTTAATTTCTGTTTCTGAATGTCATTTTCCCATATAGGTCCGAATTATTAAACTGTATTCGGTTTTAGATGCAGCACTAGACAATTGAATCGAATCTCCATAACATAATACTAAGAATGTAGGGTTAGGAAGAAATGTGGGATTCCCAAAATAATGTCTAACGCTATAGTCGGACAGGCTTTTTGCATTATTGAAAACCGAATTCCATAACTACTATATTAGCCGAATGCGCCAAATTTCCCTCCTTGTCTCGAGGTTCATAAATTGTTTCAATATTAAAGTACTGCATACGAGCGTATGTTCCCTAGAGAGGTGGCTGCATGTGAAGTGTTCGGCTTATGCAGTTGGCTTGAGTTCATGATTGGCAAATCCAATATATGTCGTGCAGGCATCGCAGATTCGAGGCACTTGCGGCTGCAGGCAGCCATTTTGTGCCAGCACCAAGCTTATTTCGTTTGCCTCACTCCTGCATTAGCGCGCAAGATGGCGTCGCGTCGATTTCCGCCCGTCGACAATGGCATGATTATCGCCAGTCGGCAAACGGCAGACAACTGAGCATGCAGTGAAGCCAAAGCGCACAAAAATATGTCACTGGAAAGCCCAACAGAGGCAAAATTGCTACTGCAGCAATAAGCTGCAAATTAAGCCAAAAATATGCGTTACCGATAACAAAAAAAAACCGCACGCCCAGCCAACAGACAGCCGTGGCCGGAATGGATGCAGCGACCCTCCCCACACAATCCCTTTTTCTATATCCTTTGCCGACGTTTGGCTTCCCGTCTCATGCACAGCGTGAGTGTCCCGCAATGCGTTTTGGCATACTCGTAGTCCCTTCTAGACTTGCTTCCAAACGAAGTAGTACAAAAATGCATTTGGCTAAAGTAGAAATCCAGTTATTTGATAAATATTATTCAAAACAGTCCAATAAACAGATTGAATTGAACCAAAGGCCCATGTTCTACTCAGCCCCCTTAGCAAACGCAACAGGATTGTCATTGGAATCGCTTTAGTTTCTACGTGAGTAGTGTTGTTGAGGTAACTGAACTTTTAATAAACAATAACCGATAACATGATTAACAAAATCCCTTCGGTCACAATCATGCAATGAAATTTTGATTTAAATTTTTCCCAATTAGAGGTCGACTTTTTACCCAAACAATAAATATTGTAAGAATGGGTGATAGTAGGAACACCCCTAATATCACTAACAATAATTAAACACTGACCGAATAGTGATTGAATAGTTGAATAGTGATAAGTAATCAATAATCGATAGTAACCGATAGCAGGGAAGTAAGAGGTCAATTGATTTTGACCAGGCAAAGAAGGAGGACGCTTAGTGAAATTTGAATTAAACGGACATTTGTGAAACATTGTTAATTGTTATTACTTTGGTTTAGTAATCGAACAAATTTGAATAAACTTAAATAATCCAACACTATATACATATATTTAGATATATTTTATTAGCAAACCACGCAATACTTTATTATATGTGAATAGAGAACAAATGAAATTGATTCCTTAAAAGCCAGCTTATTGAAATGATTTGGTTTTGTCCTGAAAGTTTGATATGTTAGGCACAAGATAATCCTAAGGCAATATTTGTGTCTGGCGCCTGGTTAGTGGCCTGGAACCTGTCCGCATTGACCGCATCATACTGGAATCATTGTCATATAGGACAAACAAAACGCCATTCGCTATGCTCCCAGCAACCACTTCCCAGCTGAAATGCCTCATAGATCTCAACTCCCATATTTATGGGTCCCTATTCAGTTCATTACATTCACTTTCGAGTTGAAACTATGACAATGCGTCGATAAAACAACATTACCGCACACATGACAAACATACAAACGAACAAACAAACAAACAAACAGACAGACAGACAGACAGAGTGAGAGACAAACAACCAAATGGCGTGGTGAACTGGTGGTGCGGGTAAACAGTTAGATGAGTGGCGGGGCGCCAGAGTGGCAACAGAGAGCAATAAGCGTACAAATTTGTACCAAAGTCAAACAAAACGTAAAGAATAAATTTATGCACACTCCAACACTCGCCCACAAAATCAACATACAACAAACACAAATGATGTGGGGAGCAGGGGGAGCCACAATAAACAGGGACTGCCGACGTCCCCAACATATTGACAGTAAGTTGACAGTTCGTCAGAAGCATGGCCGCAGCGTTTTATCCGACTGCTCCACCGCTAGCTGACTGATTTCACTGACTGGATGACTAGATGACTGACTGACTGACTGACGTGACGTATTGTAATACGACGGCGTATGGCTTAATGTGGCCACGAATATCATCAACATACAACATATAACAATGGCGCGGGCAACAACAAAAAACAGCAGCAGCATTTTAACAACAACAACGATGAGATTTTGTGGGTTATATTATAATGGTTTAGGCTCTAATCGGCCTGAGGCCAACCACAAAAAAATTGCCCAGCCCCTCTTATGTTCGCGAGAGAGCATTGACATGACACTGAGAACGAACATCCAACGAACACGTACCAGTATCAAGAATCGCAAAATAAATCTGCTACCCAATTATTTTAGAACATATTTAGAAGTAGGTGTGATATATAGAAGAAATCGGATTCGAAATTCATGAATCTCTCTCGTGAGACTTTTCGAAAATTGCATTTTTGGCTACAGCTGT